CCTCGACTTACGACCGGTTGGGTAGTCCTCGACTTACGACTGGTTTAGTCCTCGACTTACGACCAGTTTAGTCCTCGACTTACGACCGGTTGGGGGTCGCGGCATTAAAAAGCTTGAGAACCACTGATTTAGGAAGACACCAGAGCAGAAATAACTCAAGAGAGTAGGAAGTCAGGTCCTATTAGGATTGTACAACTACCTGTGCCTTTTAGATCAGAGTGAGATTGAATTTTTTTGGGTATGACATCCAGTGTGCCAATAATCACTGAGACCAACTATGGCAACTTTATACAATAATCTTTCAACTTCGATTTTCAAATCTCAATACTTTGTGTTCTTCTCTAGTTCTTCGTCTTCTATTCTACTATCCCCTGCTATTGTCACATCAGTTATCCACACTTTCATTTTTCCAACCAATTATATCTTGTATGTTATGGGTCTAGATTTTATCGGTCTGTATTTGGAAATCCCACAATATTTTAACCTGCTCATTTTCAATTAGTTTTTCAACTATGTGTGACCACATTTTTTTATTACTGGTACATCATAATGTACCAGTAATGTTCCAGTGAATCATTTTGGTGACTGTGTTATCTTGTTTATAATCAGCTTGTATGATCTTCTTGCACAAGCTGAGTATAAGGTCTACTTCTGCTTCTTTGCACAATCTGTATTTTGAATCATTTGATGATTTTTCAGTTCCGGCCTTCATAGCATTTAGTTCGAATAACTACCTCTTGTACAGCCAAAAATCAATCCTTCAGTTTCTTTTTTTAATGTTCCAATTGTAAGCTATTGTCAGATTTTACCACTTTTCTGATCCAACTCCCTGCTCAGGCGTGAAACCCTATATCATTTCAGTCAAGTGGTTTCCAAACTCTTCTTAAAAACGTCCAGTGTTGGAGCACCCACAACTTCTGGAGGCCAGTGGTTCCACTGGTTAATTGTTCTAACTAGTCTTGTAGAATTTTGTAGAAATTGACCAAACCATTTTTTTAAAAAAATAATGTTTTTCCTTGCCAACATTCTGTTTATATTTTTATTATGTTATTTCAATATTCACGTTTTGTTTCCTGTATATTTAGTAAGCTTCAAATTTTAGTTTATATCAATGTTTGTTCTTGGCTGTCTTTTACAGAATCTGCCAATCCAAATTCTTGTTTGACAGTTTGTTTTACCTGAAGTAAACCTCAGCTTCTATTTCTATGGGGCAAATAGATTATATCATTTCGGGAATATAATGCATAATGAATAGTCCTTTGCTTTCTTGTTTTTTTCAGTTCAAACTGTCCAGTTCTCCATGTGTCCTAATTCCAGTGACAAACTATATCATAGATATGGGCCAAGTATTAATGGATTTGATGGTGTTTCTACCATACAATTTTGTCTTTAGCAATTTTCTCATTTCTTTGAGGTATTCTTTATTAATCATATTTTTAACTTGCCCATATTTGATGTTATCCAATCTTAAAATGCTCAGACACATGTAGGCTTTATCCCGATGGCAACTGAAGGTTTGGCTATTTGGCATTGCAATTTTATTTGATTTTTACCCCAGTTTATTATTACTGAAGTACATTTTCCTAAGCCAAATTCCATTGCTATATCTATGCTAGAATTTCTTACAGTGTTTGTCAGTGATTGGATTTCAATTTCTGATTGTCCATAAAGCTTCAGATCATCTATGTAAAGCAAATGTGAGATTTATCAGCATTTTTTGATGTTTGATAGCCAAGATTTGTTTTCTTCAAAATTACCAAAAGTGGGATCATGGCAATGACAAATAATAGGATCACATTGAATCATCATCATTATTATATTATTATTATTATTATTATTATTATTATTATTATTATTATTATTATTATTATTATTATTATTATTATTATTATTATTATTATTATTATTATTATTATTATTATTATTATTATTATTATTATTCCTGAGGTGAAATGAAATGCATCCCTAGGAATTGAAGTAGAATCCTATATGATACTGCATCTGTAATAATGATTTTAAAAAATTCTGGGTGGACTTGGGAATTCATTTCACAAAAATCTACATGAAACAGACACCAATCACAAAGTCTGAATAATATTTATCCTTCCTTCAAGTGACCCAGTTTTTAGATATGGTAACAGTACAAAGTATTTTGTACTTAAGATAAATTTTTAAAATTATGATAGTAATCCGTAATGATGAAACACCTTCAGATGTTTCAAGTCAGGAATTCTATTAAGAAATAACCATCAGGTACGGTTTGATTCTGACTGATTTTATAAATGAAAGGAAAACAGGAAAAAGAAATACTTCAGCACTGCCAAGCTCTCAAAGATTGCTTCTAAAAATTGGAGTGATGTGTTAAATATGGAAATACAGGTAGTCCTTGATTTACAGCAGTTCATTTAGTGACCATTTAAAGTTACAATGGCACTGAAAAAAGTAAATTATGCCTTTTTTCACACTTACAACCATTGCAGCATCCCCAAAATTCAGACATTTGACAACTGACTCATATTTATGACGGTTGCATTGTCCCAGGGTCATGCGATCAAGTTTTGCAACCGTTTGACAAGCAAAGTCAATGGGGGAACCAGACTGACTTTACAACTGTGTTATTAATTTAACAACTGATGCGATTAACTCAACAACTGTGGCAAGAAAAGTCATAAAATGGGGCAAAACTCACTTAGCAACCAAAATTTTGGACTCAATTGTAGTCATAAGTCGAGGACTACCTGTATTATTTCTTGGGGGAGGGAGTATGTTATTTTTGTAGAACATTTATAGTCTGTACTAATTGCGTTGAATATAAAGAACTAGCCTCAAATTTAACGAGCAGATTCATATATGAAATAAAAGTAAGTGCCTTCCACAATTTATTTTTTGGATTTCTTTTAATCCCATTTTTATTGTTTTATAAGTAAATTAGGTGGCGAATTTACCTAAACTTCATTCTCTATTTTCCCCACAATAACTCTGTGAGGTGAGTTGTTCTGACAGGGAGTGACTGGCCCAAGATCACCCCAGCTGGCTTTCATGCCTTAGGTGAGACTAGAACTCATGGTTTTCTGGTTTTTAGACCAAACTAAAATCAGTTGGCCAACAAAGCACAGCTTCAAAAAGCTGAATTCAATAATTGTCCATAACAATCTAGAAAAGAATGGGAATGTAAAGAAGCAGTTATTACAAATAATCATACTGTAAAATCTCTGAGGCGTGACTTATATGTTACAATTTTCCTAAACAAATATATGCAACCAGTGAGAAACTACATCACAATCTAATGTATTAAATCCAGAAATGAGATAAGAGAACATTACACCATACTCTGATTTTCCACTTTTTTAAATATGCAAATTATTTCTGAGGAGAAAATTAAGTTTGAAGCAGTTCTTACTACACAATGAAACGGGGGGAAAATTGACTTAAGTGGAAGGCTAAATGGCTAACTCTGAACATAGATATAGTGGAGCTTGAAAGTTTGTGAATCCGTCTGAACTTTCAATATTTCATCATAAATATGACCTAAACCAGGGATAGGCAACCTTGGCTTTTTTATGACTCGTGGACTTCAACTCCCAGAATTCCTGAGCCAGCCATGCTGGCTCAGGAATTCTGGGAGTTGAAGTCTACGAGTCATAAAAGAGCCAAGGTTGCCTACCCCTGACCTAAACTGATCTGTTCTCCACACAAGTCCTAAAATTAGAAAAAAGATAATTAAACGAGTCAAAAATATACTTGTTCATTTATTGATAAAGGAAAATAATCTAAAGCTACATGTTTGTGTATGGCAAAAGTAAAAGTCTGCTGGATAAGCCTCTAGTGAAGTAAGTTTTACTGTAGTAAAACTTAATTACCTTATGCTAGGAGATTTTGAGGACTATACCAAATAACTCTTTAGAAGGTGAAAGAGAAAACTTTGGATCTAGGATTATTGCACTGTCAGTGTCAGAGGAGAGAAAACTGCTCTTTGCAGATGCAGTCACATGCAAATAATTATCATAATGAGGACCATGATCATTTTATAAAAAATGGCAAGAAATTTAATTTGCTGCTTCTTGAGAAGAGACTTAATAAATTCAAAGACAGCAAAGTTACACACATCTCTATATTTAGTCCAATAAATTAATGCACTGTACATTTCTCCATAATTGGAATCAAAAGCCCTCAGAATAGCAAGAACCATTGGTGGGCTTTGCTTCATGTACAAAATGCGTGAAAAGGTATGGAAAACATGATAGACCTAAGGCTCTTTGTGCATATGTTTGCACGTACATGAACATTGAGTGTGTGTACTTGACTATGCATATATGTATTCAAATCTCAAATCATAGTTTGCTCTCTGTGGAAAACGCATATTGTTTTACAGTTTTTCTCTAAGCTGTATCATTTCCTTCAGATAATAAGCTTTTGTGTACGTGAGAGAGAGAGCGAGAATCAGAGTCAGAAAACTTTTCAGTATCCATTGTTTAAAAATATGTATAGAGATAATTTTAATATACTTCATAAAAATGCAGGTTAAAAATGAAGAGAAAAATAGTTGTAAGATACTGATAAGATTCACACCTAGAACATTTCTATCCATTGTAGGATAGGACTACTCTGATCTTTTGAGAATATAGAAATAAATTACTCTAAAAGTGGACAATACCCTATTTTATGCCCCTTATTTTAAAAATGGCTAAAAACTTCACATGAAATGTTAGCCTGCAAATCTAAATACAGTATGTATGTTACATTTGGATTGCCAACAAAGAGGTAAAGGGAGACTAGTATAGCTATTTCGAGCTATTTGTATGTATATATATACAGGGTTGAGCCTCACTGTGAAAACCCTTTTTGGAGTAAACATGTTAATTTAATCATGCTGTTGGTCTCAGCTGTAAACACCTGAACATAAGTCTCAGTGAACTAATTTATCTCCAGGTAAGCCTATCACTCCCCTCACACTTCCCCATATATCTCTTCAGTTCCTCTCCAGCACCTGGGCCTGGCAGATGGAGTTCAACTTGCTCACTGACCCAGAAGCTCAGAGCCCCCCTCTTTCCCTCTCAGAATCTGGGACACCTCAACATGCACACAGGCACAAGGGGCAAGCAAGTGGTAAGTAGGAGAACAGGTACTTTCCTTTCTTATTTTAAGGGGGATTTCCTTAAATAACAGAAACAACGTGTTTGTGGGGTTTTTTCAGTGTTTAGTATTGAAAAATTCTAAAAACGAAGGTTTAATAGACTATATAAATTCACGATGTAAAAAAGATGCTGAGACTCTAGAAAGAGAACAGAGAAGAGCAACAAAGATGATTAGGGGACTGGAGGTTAAAGCATATAAGGAACGGTTGCTGGAATTGGGTATGTCTAGTTTAATGAAGAGAAGGACGAGGGGGGACATGATAGCAGTGTTCCAATATCTCAGGGGCTGCCACAAAGAAGAGGGAGTCAAGCTATTCTCCAAAGTGCCTGGAGGCAGGACAAGAAGCAACGGATGGAAACTCATCAAGGAGAGAAGCAACCTAGAACTAAGGAGAAACTTCCTGACAGTTAGAACAATTAACCAGTGGAACAACCTGCCTCCAGAAGCGGTGAATGCTCCAACACTGGAAGTTTTTAAGAAAAGACTGGACAGCCATTTGTCTGAAATGGTATAGGGTTCCTGCCTGAGCAGGGGGTTGGACTCGATGACCTCCAAGGTCCCTTCCAACTTTTTTATTATTATTATTATTATTATTATTATTATTATTATTATTATTATTATTATTATTATTATTATTATTATTATTGAGTTATCGAAATTAATTGAACCTCAATATTTTTTTTAACTTTGTACTTGGTGCTGGAAATGGGACCAAGCTGAGGGTTTGCAGATTCCATGAGAGATGCCCTGTGTGTCAGTGTCTCTTGTCCCCACTTAAAATGGCCCATCTCTAATAGGCAGAATGGCGACTACCTGGAAGAGTCCCAGATTCAGTGTGTGAAATCTTCCCATTTGCCTTTATTCCAAGGGGAAAAATAGTAATCTAATCATCCACTGCAACTCATCAGTTGTCTCTCTTAATTGCTTTTTGAAATGCCAGGGGGATGAGTGCTGATCTCAACTTGTTACTTAGGAGAAGGGCAACAATAGAAAATGGTCTCCCTTTCAGCTTTCCTGTCCGACTTTTACTCCATGCTGATTGAGGAGGGATCACTGTGATCTTATGCATACTATGGTTTTTCAAACTGTCGGATCCATACTAACAACATAAATTCAAAAGTCACATGAAAAAGATAACGAGATACCTGCCATTTAAACTGGCCATTTTGGTAAGATGAACACTTTTAAATTTTGTCATCAACTAAAAAGTGCTTTGCTGAAGCCAGATGAAATCTTTTAAGTGTTTATAATATGATATGACAAAATACAAGTGGCACTTTGACACTGAAACATTGAGTGTGGGCCTCAGATGCCCTGGCAAAGGACCTGTTCCCCTGCTTTCAGTATATAAAATATCTGCAAAATAGCGCGGGGATTCACCGGCAGAAAGCATCTTCTCTCTTATAATTAAATACTGTACAATAACAAATCAACTAATTATTAATTGCCCTTTTATGACAATGATCACCTCAGCCTATGTAATCGCAGACTTAGCACTGATGGAAGGATGACATGCCTCTTGAAAAATAGGGTAGATTTTTTCAAACTTTATTTGTACAATTTAAGTAAGTAAGGCTACATAATCTTGTGTAGAGAAAGTGAATCAGTATCAGCATACAAGAGTACCTTCATAAACAATAAACTTTTAGGTTGCAATTCTATAGATATTTGTTAGCGGTTCCCAGTGAACCAGTGGAGATGGTCCCCTTTTTTTGCTCTATATGAGCTAGCCAAAATGAAATGAAATGTGTAAATTGTTTTATTGTCTCTACAGAAGACACAAACTTGTGGTATACCAGGCTTCTTTACAAGGAGATGTAGTGGCTAAGGTCTTGAACTAGGACTGGGGAGACCCAGGTTCAAGCTAATCCTGAGCCATGGAAGCTCACCCTGGGCTACCTATCAGGGTTGCTGTTGGGAAAATTAGATAAGAGAATCTTACATACATCATCTTGGAAGAAAACTAGGGCAAAACTAATACAGTACAGAGTCTTGTTGATGCAAGTGAACCCATTAGCGGCTTTTCTTACTTAAGCAGTTAATGACCCCTTAAAGTCTTTGTTACTTCATGGAACTCCCAAGTATCTATTAATATAACACATAAATGTATACAAAAGCTTAAATAATCTGGCAGCTTCTTTGGCCCAACTGTTCCTTTTTTCTCAATATTCTTTCCATCTGAGCTACCATAGATTGATAACTATTATCCTTGACCTTTTCTTCAGAAAACAATGTAGCTGTAAAAGGCTAGCTTACTTCCCAATGGAAGAAGACGAAACTTTTTCTCCAACATATTCCTGGAAATGTTGAATGATAAACCTCTGTTTATTTTCCCTCTGCAGTTTTTCCTCTACTTTGAAATCTTTCCAGGATTCACATCATCTTTTCTCCACCATGCAATTGTAATTACCTGCTGTAATTTAGGGTATAGCTGGCCAACAGGCATCTTAGTTCATCTCTATTCCAGGCAACCGATCTCTGCTTCAGACATGGACAGATATGATATAGTGACTCCCACTATTTTTTTTTTACCTAAGCATGCAAGATGAATAAATTTCAGTATTATATGGGGAATACAGTATTATGCATAAAAAAGGAAACTGTAATTCCTAAAAACTCTTCTCTCTAATCTACATAAAACCATGAAGGGAGGTCATCCATCAGTTTGACATTTGATATCATCAACGGATGGATACCCATTTGTACATCCCCACCTTGGGCAACCAAGTGATACTGTCAATGTTGTGCATCTGAGGGCTGTACAGGTCTGGATGTGGAAGAAAGACTTGGATTCAATCCTCCCAAGACTGAGTGACAGTGGATTTTTGGCCATCTCAGGTATGGGGACTTCCCAACTTTAGCCTTGATGGATTGTACTCCCCCATTCAAGACTGGCGTGCAATTTGGCAGTTGTCTTGGCTTCATAGCTCCTGCTTAAAGAGCAAACATCAGCTGTGGAGAGGAGAGCTTTGTCTAATGTTGACACATTAGACAAAGCTCTCCTTTCCACAGCTGATGTTGCACCTATTCCTGGATGGGGAGGACCTCAAGAGAGTTATGCCCTTAGTCACCTTACAATTGGATTATTCCAACATCCTCTAGCTGGGGCTGCTCTTGAAGACCACTTGGTAGCTACAGCTGGTCCCAAATTCTGGTTACCACTTACAAAGCCCTTCATGGAATAGGGCCTGATTATTTGAGGGACTGCCTATTTCCGATAGTTTCTGCCCATATGGAAAGTTCAGTCAGAGTTGGTGCACTTTAGAACCTTTAAACAATGCTATCTACCCAGGAAGTATATTTACTCATTCACAGCAAATTATATTCCCTGGAGGTCTAAGAAGCTCCCACCCAAGGATAGAATAGAATAATATCTTTAATTGTCACTTTGAATGTACACTAATCGGCATACATTAAAATGAAATTTCATTGTATACAGCTCTCAAAGGGTCACGACCTCCAATATACACTACATATATATAAATCAATCAGACCATCTGTCTGAAAAACTTTCTGTATATACTCCCTTGACTCGGCTGACAAAGGGGAGGAGAGCCTGTGGCCTGGTGGTTAATACAACTGCCTAGCATGTAGACCAGGCATGTCAAACTCGTGACGTCGCGCGACGTATCGGAGCTTTTTTGCCATTGCCGGCAATAGGGTGGGTGCGGCTCCGGGATGATGAAACCGGCCCACGGGCCGACAGTTTGACACCCCTGATGTAGACTGCCCAGGTTCGAATCCCATAAAGGGGTGTGGCTAACTGATGAGGACAAATGAGTCCGAAATAGCTATACTAGTCTCCCACTTAAAATCTTTAACTCTTGCCAGCAAAAAGAAATCTGAATTTGTAATGTATCGCAGTAGCGACTTGAGCCTGCTTAACGCCCCTAGTTGCGGGGCTGCAAGGCAAAAGAGATTATAAAAAGTAGAACTGCAGTATAGCAGTCAAAATGCCAAAGGTGCACTCAATCAGACCGTCTGTCTGAAAAACTTTATATGTGTGTCTGTGTGATATAAACAAACAAACAAACAAATACAGAATTATGCATCTACCCACATATATGACACAGAGAAACAAGAGAAACAGTCTAGTTCGGATTATGTATATGCATGGCGAGAAAAACGAATCTTGCGAGTTTACCAGACGGATGGCATAGGGAACAAAGCTATTACAGAATCAGGTAGTCCTGCTAGAAATACTTTGAAACCTCCTCCCGGAGGGGAGCAACAAAAATAGACCGTGAAGTGGTGTTTGGGGTCTCTAACAATGCTTTCAGCTCTAAGCACATAGCGCTTATAAACAGCATCCTGAGTACCAGGGAGCGAGCTTCCTATGATCTTCTCGGCTGTCCTTACCATTCTCTGTAGGGACTTTCTATCTGAGGCACGGCTGCCACCAAACCCGACAGTGGATGCATTTTGTTAAAATGCTTTCAGTCGTGCTTCTGTAAAAAGTGGCCAGGACAGAAGGAGAAAGATGTGCTCTCCTCATCCGACCCAGGAAATGCAAATGCTGGTTTGCACGCTTCACTAAGGATGACGCGTGGAGAGACCAATTCAGATTGTTAGTCATCTGCACCCCCAGATAATTAATACTGCTGACCACTTCTACAGCTGCATCCTTGATATTGAGTGGAGGATGATTATGCCGGCTCTTTCTAAAATCTACAATGATCTCCTAATGAAGTTCTGGAAAACTTTAAAAATGTGGCTATTGGCCCAGGTTGTGGGGTGGGACGGCTGTGACGCCCCACCAGAGCCTCTCACCCCTCATATATGCAATATGATTGTGTGAATGCTTCAGAAATTTCCTTTACTGTATTGTTTTTCTGTTTTTAAATTGTAAATCATGCAGAGTCATTCTGGAGTTAAGTGACCCCCCCAATCCAATCTAATATATAAATTAAGAAATCTCGTCATGGGACAGCTGTGATCTGTTATCAGGTTTCACACTTATTGGGCTTAGACATGAATCACAGTTCCCTGACCAGTTAGCCTTTAATCTAAGTATCAGAGGCTTGGCAGAAGACTCCCCACAGAATAATCCCAAAAGATTATACAGCTAATGTATAATCTTTATGGCAACAGAATGAAATCTTAACCCACTCAGGAATGCCTGCAGGGTAAGAGTGTGTGCATGTGTGTTTGTCAGGAAAGTCAAAATGATGGGTGTGACTGGATGATTGAAATCCTGTCCATTTTTTAATGTGCATTGCATATATCACATGCTGATATAAAGAGGCGATCCATTGCTCCAGTTGTGTCCCACCTGTGGATGTCATTGGTAATAATAAAACAATGCAGAACCTTTATATATCTATAACTCAACATTTAGAGCTTTTTTCTTTTTGCCTTTCTAAATTAAAAAATACTTGAGGTTGTGTTTGATGCTTTGGGAGGCTAGGATATGTTTACGTAATTATTCCTCTCTCTAGCCTAAAACACACTGGATTTTCCCTTACCAGTTTTACCTCTGTCCATGATGTCAGATTACCTTCTTGTATTATGGTTGGTGTGCATAGCCAGCCAGATGTTTAGAGTGGATTGGCTGTCAAATTCTGGTTGAAAAACCCAACAAAGCAAAACGCCAAAGACGTTGCGATCTCTAATATAAACTGTATTAGACATTAGCAAACCGGCAATATAGAAAGAAAGGTAGCTCTGAAACTATGGTGGGAAACAGATAATTAAAAGAGCAAAACTTTCCCTCCCCTCTCTGACAGTTCAGGTCACATTGTCCAATTAATTTTCCAGCAATTGTTATGAAAAGAAACTTCAGTTCGTCAAAACATCTTCTCAGCGGCTTCAGCGCTCATGCTGACAGGGAGCACCTATGGATCCCAAACTCTCCTTTCCCTCATCCCCCGTAACGGTTGGCAAGCTAGAAACGCTACGGTGGTCCTAAAGACAGTAAAGATCATAGCCTGACATTGGCATTTTTGTCCACCTATTAAGTCTTTCCTAACCACCTGGAATAGGCAGATGTTCTTATTTAATTATATTAAAGGTATTGTCGCAGGATGTAAGCTGTTCCAAAGAAAGCTATATTATCATTACTATTATAGTTAATCTTCAGTTCGATTCACAGTCTGGGACTTAACAGTTCAAGTCCTGACCTAGGAGTTGTTAAGGTAGCATCTGATTATATAGGCAGTTCTGAGTAGAGTGTGTGTGTTGTTTTTTTGCAAAGTCAGGATATTCAGGTCTAATAAGTTCAAAATTTCTAAGTGTCTAGGTAGCCCTTTGGCTATTGCTCCAAGGGCTCCTGTTACTATTGGTACAACCATTATTTCTTCCTCCACAGTTGCTCAACTTCCAATTCTCAAATCACAATATTTTGTTATTTTTTCTAGCTATTTCTCTTTAATTTGTGCGTCACCTGGTATCGCAATATCAATGAACCAAACTTTTTTCTTTTCCACAGTAGTGATGTCAGGCACGTTGTGGGCCAGATGTCTGTGTCTTTGGATCCGAAAACCCCACAGGATCTTGACTTGCTCATTTTCACGAACTTAAGTCAATTTGGTGTTCCCAGTAATTTTTGCCGTATCATCATCATCATTACTATTACCATTATTGTTGTTATTGAATTTGATTCATAGTCTAGGACTGGTACTTATTATTATTATTATTGATCATCACATAGATGTTCAGACTGGATTTGGCATTTTTGTCTACCTATCAAGTCCTTACCAAGGAGCTGGGATAGATAGATCTGGATGTTTGATGGTGTTACAGATATCATCACAGGATGGAAGCTGTTCAAGTAAAGCCACCTTTCGCAATTGACTGATGGTGAATTTGTCAATGCCAATGGTGTTCAAGTGGTGCTCCAGTTGTTTTGGGATTGCACCTAAGGTGCCTATTACTATTGGTAGCACCACCCTTGCTTGCCTTTGCCACAGTTGTTTTTTTATCATTATCATTATTATTTTCAATTCTGTTCACAGTCTGGACTTGGTAAAAATTTAACAGTTCAAATCCTAACCAAGGACCTAAGAGCTGTTAAGGTAGCATTTGAGTATATAGGCAGTTCCGAGTAGGGTGGTTTTTTGCAAAGTGGAGATATTCAGGTCTAATAAGTTATGATGATGATGATGATGATGATGAAGAAGAAGAAGAACAGGCTTGGATGCAGAGACATTTGGTTTTATGCTATTATTGAGATCAATTATATAATCAATTTGTTTCTTTGAATACAAGTTAATTATAAGAAGAGACCTGTCCAAAATAGCAGTGGTGCTAATTCACAACCTTGAGTTCCTAAATTTAAAGGTGGAATAATAACCAAATACTTTGCAATACCAGCAAAGAGGTTTTATATCTATCAAATAAAGAAGTGTTTGCCTCTGGATGAAGCAGTATTTATATATGTCTTTTTTTTTTCAGCTTGAAACTGGTTGTGTTTTTAAATTTTTATTTTGGGGCTGTGCTCACAGCCATCTTGTATCTGGAGATCTATAAGGCTGGCAGCTCTAAATGGCCCAAGTGAACAACAAAACAATATTTAGAGTGAAAAATGAAGCTCCTATTCTGCAGATGTTCCATTTTTTTAAAAAAATCTCACTAGTTTTCAAATTCTGGGTTGGAACGCGTGGCATATTGTCAACTCTCCCAGGTAAGCCAAGTAGGAAACACAACTAAAAGAGCTAATTCTGCTTTATTGTAAGGCTACAATAACAGAGTCTTGAAAGTCTGAAGATGCAAACTTGCCACTGCCACTTTTAATCCTCTGATCTATTAGGGCAGATCCTTCCTTGGCTGCTTTCTCTGACTCTTAAAGCCACTGGGGCTCTTGGCTCTTACCTGATTTCTTCCTGCTCAGCATCTTTTCCCCTTATCCATCCAATATTCCATTACACACATGATTCTCCTCCCTGTGTTTATTTAAAGCAAAATAATAATAATAAAATACCCACTTCCTCTCGTGTGAGACATTCAGAAAAATCAGGAATCGGAAAAGATTCAATATATTCATGAACGTCTAATTTACTTCTTCAGATAGATATATTTTTCCCGATTGCATGATTGTTAAAGAAAAAAATATTTTTCCAAATCGTGAAACGCCAGTGGATCTAGGCTGCCTAGTCCCTACGCAATCCACAATGTTTAATCACTAACGTTCCTCAAATTGGGTTTGGCTTCTGTCAAAAGCATATAGGATCACTAAGAAATAGAAGAATTTAGAACTGAAAAATGAAAGAGAGAGTCCCTTTTCTGCACTGGCCACCATGTGCCTTATCTTTATCTTTGTGATAAGCGGCATACCTGCAGTATTTTCTTCATTAATACCACTTTACAATGCCTTGGTAAGGCCACACTTGGAATACTGCATCCAGTTTTGGTCACCACGATGTAAAAAAGATGCTGAGACTCTAGAAAGAGTACAGAGAAGAGCAACAAAGATGATTAGGGGACTGGAGGCTAAAGCATATGAGGAACGGTTGCTGGAATTGAGTATGTCTAGTTTAACGAAGATAAGGACGAGGGGGGACATGATAGCAGTATTCCAATCTCTCAGGGGCTGCCACAAAGAAGAGGGAGTCAAGCTATTCTCCAAGGAGCCTGAAGGCAGGACAAGAAGCAATGGATGGAAACTAATCAAGGAGAGAAGCAACCTAGAACTAAGGGGAAACTTCCTGACAGTTAGAACAATTAACCAGTGGAACAACCTGCCTCCAGAAGCGGTGAATGCTCCAAGACTGGAAGTTTTTAAGAAAAGACTGGACAGCCATTTGTCTGAAATGGTATAGGGTTTCCTGCCTGGGGTTGGACTAGATAACCTCCAAGGTCCCTTCCAACTTTATTATTATTATTATTATTATTATTATTATTATTATATTTTTTATTATTATTATTAAATGATTTGTGTATGTGTTGAGCAATTGAACACAAAGAGGTCATCCTTTAGTAATATCACTTTCATTATTGGTAGGAATGTTTATGCAAGAAAAATTACTGTCTTGAGCTACTGTGAAGACCTGTGATGGATTCCTTGGTTTTGCTTCCATAAACACAGAAAAGTCACAGCAGAATCAGCCTGACGATACCACGCCTGAGGATGGCTCCCTGAGAAAGAAGCAACGTAGGCAGAGAACTCATTTTACCAGCCAGCAACTCCAGGAGCTGGAAGCCACTTTTCAAAGGAATCGGTATCCAGACATGAGTACCCGAGAGGAGATTGCTGTCTGGACCAACTTGACGGAAGCCAGAGTTCGGGTACAATTATTTCCTTTTTAATTTCCTTGAAAATGACCAGAATGTGAAGGAGAAGGCTGAATAAAAGCCAGAGAGCAGAATAAGCCTGTACATGGGACTATATCTGTGTGCCTTCTTCCCTTTTTGACAAAGTAGGGCAATCAAAGTTTATCTAAAGAATATATTCCTAAGATTTTAATGAAGCATCACATGGTACACTTTTAAAAAAAACAGGGATATTGTCACAACTACTCTTATAGTTAGAAAATGTAGCTAGGGAAATTCCCCAAAATACAACTAAAAGAATTTTCTATAAAGTGTGCCTTTTTTAAAAAAAAAATAATTTTTGAAGTTTAAAAAGTCAAAGATAATTAACATAAACTAAGAAAAATAAAAAATAAATGCAGAGAGGGAAAAAAGGAGGAAAAAAATAAAAAAGATATATAAGGAAATGACTTCTCCCTTCTAGACGAATGCAAACAAATTCAGTAACTTATCACCTTCCCTAAGATTTCAATCAATTAATCTCTTCATCCCTTATCTCATCTTTTCTCTCTCTCCCTTTTTTGTGAGGTAGCAACAATTACTTTAGAGCCGTGGTTCCCAAACTCTTCAGTTCCTTGACCCCTTCATGAAGTTACAGATTGTTTATCAACTCCCAAACATTATATTGCAATAATTTAAGAATGCTATTTTAACTAATAGTATTATGAATAATGAGCGCCAAAGAATTGAGGCCTTTGAACTATGGTGCTGGAGAAGACTCCTGCGAGTCCCTTGGACTGCAAGGCGTTCAAACCTGTCAGTCCTAGAGGAGATCATCCCCGACTGCTCTTTAGAAGGCCAGATCCTGAAGTTGATCCTAATGAGAAGGAAGGACTCACTGGAGAAGAGCCTGATGCTGGGAAAGATGGAGGGCAATAGAAGAAGGAGACGACAGAGAAGGAGGTGGCTGGATGGAGTCATTGAAGCAGTAGGCATGAGCTTAAATGGACTCCAGAAGATGGTAGAGGACAGGAAGGCCTGAAGGAACGTTGTCCATGGGGTCGCGATGGGTCGGACACAACTTCGCAACTAACAACAACAACCTATTTCATAAAAGGTTGCCAGATGGTTCATTCATAAGCACAGACAGTCCTCAACTTACAACCATTCATTTAGCAACCATTCAAAGTTATAATGGCACCAACGTTGTCCATGGGGTTGCGATGGGTCAGACATGACTTCGCAACTAACAGCAACATTATGAATAATAATAAGCAGATCAACATCAATTTATAATATGAAATAAAGTATTCATAGAAATGGAACTGGAAGAACTGCAAATGTCTACCCAAAGCAAAGAAATCAAAGCCTTCCCAGAAGTAACTAAGACTATAGAGGCAAACCAGGGGGAGTTGGTAATAAAGGAAGCCAGTATAGCTGTAGAATTGTTTTCATTGGAAACCAGGCACCCTCTCCTCCGCCTCTGAAATAAAAAAGCCATCTAACTAAAGAAGTAGAAGAATTAAAAAAAAAAAAAGAATTGCTGAGCACCTAGAACAGCACAAAAATAACAGAATAAGGTTGCCTGCATTTAAACTTGTTCCAAAGAAACATTTAGCACAAGCATTAAAAGACAGAACGGGACAACTTGCTGTGGCCAACTCAACACAACCAACTTGCCACAGGACAATTCTCTGTGGCCAGTTTGCCGTGGGACAACTCACTGGTCAATTCAACAAATACAAAAGTACAAAAGTTAAATTAGTTTCAACGGAACCATAACCAACAATAATAAAGTCAATCCAGAAATTAGAATAAGAATTGGAATAATTTTGACAAAAACATGGCCACCAATACTAAAAGTAACTGAATGAAATGATTAATAGAGCATTGAATTGTCCTTCAGCAAGCTGTCCTAAGGTGATGTGACCGTGATTAATTGTCCTGTGGCAAGTTGGCCATGGTGAATTGGCCGTGGTGAATTGTCTAGACTCTTAAAAGATGCCAAAACTGTAATATCAAATATAAGGACTAGCTCACTACAAGAAACAAACCAACTAATGTACAGTACGGCTGCAGTTATAAGCGAATACCTGGGATGCAAAATCAGCAAAGAAGAAAAAAAGCCAAAGAGTGCACCATCAAAATGGAAGATGAGATCAGATGCCAGTAAGCTAGAAGAAATGAAACAAAAGAAGCTGAAGAACAAGAAGACTAAAGAATACCCAATAAGGAAGTACTAGTTAAAAACAAGGAAGATCAAGGAAGCGCTGGAAATAATAAAGCAGCAAATAACAGTTCTAGCCAAGAAGATCAGCAGAGACAAAGCTTAAATTGCAAATTATAGGCAGAATCTCCAATTCCAATCCAATCAGAAATGTTTCTACCAATCCATCCATGGAGAGACTGGAGTGAATCAGTCAGCACCTGAGAAGAAAAAAAACCAGTGCAGTTTTGGGCAAAGATGAGGGATAACTCAAAGAAATATAACAAAAATTCACCTTGGTAAAAAGGAGGTGATTAAGAATAATAAAAAAAGACAAAACGAAAGAACTTGTAATAACAGCAGAAAAGGCAAGGAAGATCAAGAACTGGTCAGCAACAGATGAAGTGTGTGGGTTTTGGTTGAAGCATATGAATAGTCTACACCCAGGCATTGTCAAGCAGTTGAACAACATACTGCAAGAAGGTGAAATTGAAGAGTGGGTAACATCTGAAAAAACGTACAAAGCCTACCTGATAACGAAAGATCCAGCAAAAGGGGAAACTACATGCTAATTACCTGCTTACCAACAACTTTCAAATGGTGTGGTAGCTGATGCAGTTCAACTGCATCTAGTTGAAAAAAAGCTCTTTTGGAGGCAAAAAAAATAAAGGGAAACACGGTATCTCTAGGAAGCTCACAAATATGACACAAACAGTAGCTCCCCTTTTCCCAATTCTTCTTTTGGATTGATAAAACTGTGACCTCTGATACAAGATGTAATGTTGCATGCTTAGTACTCATTCATAAACCATATTTTGTCCCACTTATGGTGTAAAATACTTTTTAATGTATTCA